CAACTTGGAGCCAAAATTAAAACTTTTAAAGACCAAATTAGAGATTTTTTAAATTAATGGACCAACTCAAAGGTATATAGAATAGTTAAAGGATCAAGTTAGGAGCTATGACCTTAAAATAAATATAGATATATGCGCTCTAAAAATTATACATATATAAAGATGTTCAGTTATATAGTCCTACTGCTTTCGCAGTATAATTTATCTTTCTTCCCATGTGTGAGTTGATCGCTATATATACCTATTCCCTTTTCATTTTAGTCTCAACAATCAAAAAGCTAGCTTCCTTTCTCTTCTTATTCACCATGGTGAGAACTGATATAGAGAGTGTTTGGATCCTTGCTCTTGCTTCCAAATGCCGAACTTTTACAGAGGAGAACACTGCATGGTCTCTCTTGATCATAGCTGCAGCTTGGTTAGTGATGACTCTAATCTACTGGGCTCACCCCGGTGGTCTGGCTTGGGGAAAATATAGGCTCAAGAGGCTCCTCATCACATCTAAGCCAATTCCGGGTCCTAGGGGGTTGCCTCTAATAGGCAGCATGGAGCTCATGGCTAGCTTCCTCGCGCACCACCGAATCGCAGTTGCTGCTAAGACATGCGGCGCCAAGAGACTCATGGCATTCAGTCTTGGCAATACCCGCGCAATTGTCACATGTAAGCCGGATGTGGCGTGGGAGATCCTTAACAGCTCGGTTTTTGCTAATCTTCCTGTAAAGGAATCGACCTATAGCATAATTAGTAAGTTAGTATTTGTTTAAGTATCGGTCAAAAAGTCGACTTGATGATCATATACTACGCTCCACTTTGCTTCTTACACGAAAAAACGTGACCACTTGGGCCATATAGGGGAGTGCTACCATATCATTATTTTTTGTCATATTGTCATCTTAAGTGTTTTATTGTTTTGACGTGGCATCCTTCTTCAGTCAACTAACAGGAAATGTTAGTATTTTTTTTAATGAAATGATCAACTTGGAGCCAAAATTAAAACTTTTATAGACCAAATTAGAGATTTTTAAATTAATGAATCAACTCAAAGGTATATAGAATAGTTAAAGGATCAAGTTGGGAGCTATGACCTTAAAATAAATACAGATATATGCGTTCTAAAAATTATACATATATAAAAATGTTTAGTTATACGGTCCTACTGCTTTCGCAGTATAATTTATCTTTCTTCCCATGTGTGAGTAGTTGATCGCTATATATACCAACGTTTTAAAAATCGGATCGGACCGATCGATTGAATCGGTCCGATCGATTGAATCGGTCAGACCGATACTCGGTATTAAAAACGGTTCGGATCAACATTTAGAACTGATAAAATCGTTGAACCACTCAAAATTAATAAAACCATTCGAATCGGTACAAACCGGACGGTTTAAATTCTTTGGAGGATTTACCTTAAATTTGCTACCCAGAGGCTTGAACACATGACTTCAAGAAGATTTTCTGTGATTTTTGCCACTAGGACGTTACCTCTTTGATTGAAATGATTTGCTAACAATTTCATTTATGTTATTCTTCAAAGAAAAGAATTGACGATACCATCCAGTAGAATCGAACTTTCCTTCCCCTTTACGAACTTTGATGTTAAAATTAATATAGTGTTCCTCTAATTGTTATCTTAAATATATAAATTAAAAGTGTGATAAATATAATTTTTTGTAATTAATTTATATAAGAATAATAAAAATTGATATTTATTTTAATATTATTAATACTTAAAATAATTGTAATTGATTAATTAATTAATTTAAAGTCAACTTTTATAATTTTTTAATTAATTAATAAAAGAATAATACGT